ACGGAAAAGTGAAATGCTCTCCAGGCTGGCTGGCTTCCTTTTAATTTTAAAAAAGAAAAGAAAAATGTTTAATTTACGGTTATACTATTAATAATAATAATAAAAAGAAACTGTACGTAATATGTTCTGTAGTCAAACTTGATCGGCTTCTTCCCTCGCTGCTTCTTTGTCGTTTCGTCTCACCCACCCAACCGTTACTCGTCTCCTTTCTTCCGTATTTATTGCATCTCGCTGTACGAAAAGTATCCTGATTTCAGTTACAAACTTACACCCCCACCCCACCCCACCCCACACCCACCAGATTTCTTGTACACCCTTCATATATTAATTTCCATTTTGTAAGAAAATAAAAATTTCATCAAACATTAGACACCCACAAAATAATATTTAAAATACACTATTAATAAAATAAAAAAATATAATATAAAAAAGAGAAATTACCAAAAATAGAACTAAAAACGTCCGTATATTTCAAAATAAGACTCATATTTTTATGGGAAATTTACCAGCATATGACCAAAACATGGGGAGATTCCCAATATATGACTAGTCATGTGAAAGTGATAAAACTATGAGTTGGTATGGGGCAAGAAAAGGAAAAAACGGAAGATACCATCTATTATTATGCATGTCATGTGGCAGTATAATAGGAAATATAACTGCATAGTCATATGATGAGAAAGATCAATTATTTTAATCATACGCATGGTAAATTTCTCTATTTTTATTCACAAAATTTGACTAATTACTGCCATATTTTCACAATATCAAGCTTTAAACATGGCGGTATTTTTCAAACTTGACATTAATTACTCATATTTTGGGAATAAAAACATGGTAGTCCTATTTTGTAATTTTCAAGCTTTTTTACTCATATTTCGGGAATTTTCCCTATAAAAATAATCAAAATGAACCTAAGAATGTTTTTAGTTAGTCTATTTTCAGTTACAGATCAAACCAAATCATACCAGACCAGACTAGTAGACTTGTATAGTTATAAAATCCATAAAGATCAAACATTTACCGAAGCATTCAGATCAGATCATGTAAGATCAATAAATTTCAGTGTGAGTTAAAACATCCTAATTCTAATACTCCATAGAAAATAACTTCAATCTTACTTTTGTAATATTATTAAACGATTCAACGTGACATCAAAAGTTGTGTAATTGCTTAAAACGTTGGAGGATAAAATTGATAAATTGATTATAGAGATTTCTAAATGGACTCTATGACTTGTGATTTGAATTGAAATCTTCTAACAACATTTGACTAATTTTGTCTAGTGTGTTTTTAGTGTATTTAAATGGCGTGACAATGAAATAGGAGCATGATATGCTACTTTTTTTAGGATAACCTCTGAATGTGTAGAGTACTCGATTAACTTTTGATGATTCAATTCTATCTTTCTTAATTAAAATTATATTCATCCATCTTAATCAACTGTTTTTTATATATAAATTCAATGATTTTAGCCACATTAGTAAACATTAGTTGTATCAAATTAGTCTTTCCTACACAATTTGAATTGTGTGGTTACGTTCACATGTATTCTATGGTCTGAATCTAAATTTCAGGACCTTATTTTTCTTCAATTTTGTAAATTGGGACATTGTATCAATGTTTTTTGGCTTATTCATTCGAATTATTAAAGTAAATACTTCTATATAGAATAGGAGTTGGAAGGGGGCCAGTTGAGATGAGTGGTACTGAAAATGTGCAACGACCAACACGGGAGGAAAACCGTGACAAAAAAGGTGGGACGTAGGTTAGTTGGGATGGCTCACATTTTCAAAATTTGTCACATTTTTTCAAAGCGTTTACACCGCTCAAATCGTCCACCACAAATCCATCCATCTTATCTCACCCATCCTTCGTTCCTTGCCGTTCTTAAGGTTATGTTTTACTTAAGGAGTTGACCAAGTCAAATGGTAGCTCATACGTGATTATGTCATTATTAATCGTGATCTCATAATCTATGCACTCCTAATCGTCATAAAATCAAATATTTTGTTTTTTCTTAAATAAATGCAATATCTTGAATTTTATATCATAGAGAATTAATATATTAATGATCAAAATTGTGCATTGATAAACATGAAAAGTTGATCGTTGCATTTATTTAAGAATGAAACTAGTATTTGTTTTTACTCTTAGTGTCAATTTTTGTTATGTTAGACGGCTAAGTTGCTATTTATTCAACATTATATAACTCTATGACATACAAATTCTTTTGAATTACGTAGTATTTGTTTTATATACATTCTTCATCTAGTGAATACTTTTTGAAGTATACGGAGTAGTATATAACATTAAATCTTGATCAAGCGTGGAATTTAAAAATCGACTGTTCAAGTGTGAACTTAATGAGGACACTCAAGGAGGGTAAGTCAACTTATTTCTATCTTTCAATAAAGTATATTCTTTTGTCAGAAAACTTTTTGGATTATCCAAAATAAACTCTATTACTACGTACGTAGTATTTCTTAAGAAAATTGTTTTTCACTTTTAAAACTTTTTAAAGTTAATTACACAGTTTTATCTACTGAATTTCCATATTGAAAGGGACTGATAACAAATTTATAGTGAGGTGAAGGGATGTTTGATTAACTAATATAAATACTTTCCTTCAAAAAAATGTTTTTCCATAATGGCTATGAAGTAGTTTATGAAGAAAACTCTCTAAATAAGAGTATAGGAGTATACCATACTACCTTTTGTTAAATATTGTCCCGCAAAGATTGTCCAATATTTCCTTTTAAGTCTAATCACTAAAATTGTCCTATACTAAATTTGATAAAATTTGTGTGGTTCTAAATCATTATTGTTTTATTTTTATCTTGTCAATTAAATACAAACCATATAAACTCACTTTTCTTAATAACTTATGTCATGTACTCATGTCCTCAAGTCCCAATGTTATTGAGACGAAGATAATATCATTTACCATAAGATTCGTTCCGGTCCTTTTCCGATCTCCATCTCATCACTCACTTTCACGTTCATGCTCATTTCCCCTTTGTCATTCATTTTCACGTCGATATTCCACTCCTTTCCTTTTCGATCTCTCCATTTCAATCCTTCTCCCTCACATCTTCCACCTTCAACATCTTGGCTAGGCTTTTCTCCGCCTTCTGTTCTCTCTCAGCCTCTTCTATGTACATATACCTCGATCTCTTAGTTTAGTTATTATTTTCCGAGCGGGTCACACTTGACAAAGTTTTGAGGAATGGAAGGAGGGAGCACATTAGTTTTTAAGAAATAAATGATACAAGCTTGCTTTCACCTATGAGTGTTGCACTATGCGATGTGAACCCTACATCATTCGGTCTTTCATACATTGATCTTGGCCAACCCTAGTGTTTGGTCTTCTAGTATTAGGAAAGCTAAATCAATAATTAAAAGATATTATAGGTGGCAATGGAGTTAACCAAGTGAAAGCACAACCACTTTTCTTGTCATGTGGACTTTTTTCCTTATCAAGGATGATGTATAGTGCTGCGTTTTGTTTACTAACTTGTGTGGGCTATGGGGAGCTAGAAATGTTAGTGTGTAAGGATGTTTCAGTATCACGAAGTAACATCATTGTGGAAGCTGTAACTAATCTGGAAGGCTAGTGTTCAACACATGTAAATTTAGGGTTGCAACAAGTGAAATGAATGGTAGGTTGGGTAAAATTGGAGACAAATTGCCTAAACATAATGTGGATGTGCTATAAAAAAGAGCCGGTGTTGGTGGCTCTGGATGGATGGTGCAAGATATTTTTATTTAGGTGGAGTCAAACATTGTCTTAGTGGTTTAAACCTCAAGATGGTAGATGAGAGTATCTCCGATGCAACGGTGCACATCTGACATGTGAAATCATCACATAAATATTTAAATGATTTTAAACATTTTTGGTAAGTTTTTCTTTGCAATGTTAAGGAGACTGTCTAGATGTAGACATTCTAGTTGCATTTTAAAGAAGGGGTAATTTGAGTTTGCACTCCATTTTATTGTGCAAATTGGACTTTGCATCACGTTTTTAAAAAACTTTGTTTTTGCACCTCAAACCTATATGAAAAGACAAAATTGCCCCTCCATCAACAATTTTGTTGGCCTTCAACATATTCTTGATCGAGGGCATTTTTGTTATTTCATATGGGGTTGGGTGCAAATACAAAATTTTATAAATGGGGTGCAAAGTCCAATTTGCTCAATAAAATGCGGTGTAAACTCAAATTACCCCTTAAAAATTACAAAAATTGAATAAAATCATTCAAATAAGGAGAGTGATAATTTATTTACCAATATTTATGTGATCATCTTTCATGCCACATGTGCACAATGGGGTACATTTTAACATTGAAGATGCTCTGAGATTTTAATGACACCGAGTCAGATGCGCTACAGTACTAAGAAGCATTAAGAGGCCGTTTGGCAACCCTCATTTTCGGCTTATCGGGCTTATCAGCCAACTTTTTACCAAACACGTAAAATTTGTTTTCGCGCACTGAATTGTGTAATAAGCCGAAAAAGTAAGGTTGAAGTTACTTTTCTGGCTGTATTGGCTGAAGTTACTGTAGATGACCATTTTAGCTATTTTTACATATAATTTTTTCTTTATTTTATTAATATAATATATTTTAAAAATATTTTTTTCTTGTATCACCAGAATCAGCCAATACAGCCACTTCAGCCAGAACTTTATAAATTTCAGCAGAATCAGCCAAAACAGCCGATTTTCGTGCTGCCAAACGGGCTCTAAAAATGCAACTAATGAATCATATTTTGTCCTCATTATTGGTAATACCGAAGATAATCAAGATACGTCCTTTAGTTTACTCCATCCGTCCCGCAAAATAGTTCCCGATTTCTTTTTTGAGTCGTCCCAAAAAAAGTTCTCATTTCCTTTTTAGAAAGTTTTGTGTGGCTCACATTCATTTACCTTTTTCTTACTCAATCACAACCACACGTTTCCACTTTATTTCCACTTTCTTAAACTTCGATCCAAGTCAATGCGGGAACTATTTTATGGAACGAGTAACTATCATTACTTTAACTAACCGAATAACGTGGAAATGTAAAAACGAGATTGAATAAGAAAAAGTAAAAAAAATGTTAGTCACCCAAATCAACCTATAAACTTTTTGATATTAATATTGGCAACAAAACCATAGCATTTCAATTTGTTTTGAGGGAATATGCGTGGGCCGCTAACCATTTAAAAAAGGGGGAGTGAACGAGAGAGTTGTATAGCCTATGTATGTTATGTTACTCCGTTTTTTTTATGGATGTGTAAGTGAGTGCAGGGGTGTGATGTGACGCGTGTCCGTTCGCCAGCTGTATCCCATCCATTTTTTAACCGCTTTTTTGCCTCTACGGTACTATAGCCTATAGAGATAGATAGATAATAGGTCGAATCGTCATACATTACAGCGTTCGGAATTAGGGTAACGCCGCTCCGCCCGTAACATAACGCTCTCTTACCCCCAACCTGCAGTACCGGTCACCCACCCTACCCCCACCCCACCCCGCTTCTTGTATATAACCAACCCCTCCCTTCTCCGTTTCCTTTCGACTGAAAAAAAACTCCTTCCCCTGTTCATTCTTCTTAATCAGCCTCAATTTTTGTAAATTGGTAACCGAAAATTAAACAATAAGATCGGTTCATGTTTTTGGGTTGATCGATCATGATCGGAACAGAAATGGCTTCTAATTCTCGGAAAGATGTGGATCGGGTCAAGGGCCCCTGGAGCCCCGAGGAAGATGAACTGCTGCAGCAACTGGTTCAGAAGCATGGCCCCAGAAACTGGTCTCTCATCAGCAAATCCATCCCCGGCAGATCCGGGAAGTCCTGCCGCTTGCGGTGGTGCAACCAGCTGTCTCCGCAGGTGGAGCACCGCGCCTTCACGCCGGAGGAAGACGACACCATCATCCGCGCGCATGCCCGGTTCGGCAACAAGTGGGCCACTATCGCGCGCCTCCTCTCTGGCAGGACCGACAACGCCATTAAGAACCACTGGAACTCCACGCTCAAGAGGAAGTGCTCTTCTATGAGCGCCGACGAAGGCAGTGATCTCGCCGACATGATCCACCAGCAGCCGCTGAAGAGATCGGTGAGTGCCGGCGCGGCCCTCCCTGTTTCGGGTCTTTACTTCAATCCGGGTAGCCCTTCCGGGTCGGATGTCAGTGATTCAAGTCTACCTCCTATGTCCCCTTCAACTCATGTTTTTAAGCCGATACCTAGAACCGGCGGTGTTCTGCTTTCTCAGGTCGAGACTCCGCCGCTACCTCCGCCTCCGATTGACCCTCCGACGTCCCTGAGCCTTTCCCTCCCTGGAGTCGACTCGCCGGAGGTCTCCCCACGGCTGACCGAGTCAACCCATTCCCGAAGTCCAATTCCTCTATTCTCCGCGGCGATGCAGACACCGCCGCTGCTTCCGCCTATGTCGTTTCATCAAATACCTCATGAAAACCCCGATCTGGGAGGCGAAGCACCGCCAATGGCTGCGAAGGAGACACAGGTCCAGCAAGACAGAGTCTTTGTGCCGTTCAGCCAGGAGTTGCTGGCAGTGATGCAGGATATGATCAAAGCAGAGGTCAGGAGTTACATGATGGACGCCGAACAGAACCACCACAACAGCTACCAGCAACGACGGCGATATGACCAGCCGCCGCAACAAGTGTTGCAATTTCAGCCACAGCCACCGTCGCAGAATGGGAATGGGCACGTGATGTTCATGCAACACGCGACCGCTGCGGCCATAAAACGTGTCGGAGTAAATCGAACGGAGTAATTGAGAGATGCAAGAGGCGATTAGAGGAAAAAGAAACCACCTTTGTTTCGTTTCTCATATTTAGAGCTATGGTCAATGAAGGGACCTGACCGACCATGGAATGGCCTGAACAAATAAATTTGGGCTTGTACAGAAAAAAAGAGAGTAAAGGAAGAAAACTGAGTTGAGCTCCATGAAAGGGCATGTCCAAAAACGAAAACAAGAAAATGTTAAAAACAGAATTTCTATCCTTTCTAGCCTGTTGTTTGGTTAAGTTTCTTAAGGACTTCAAGAATCAAGAGATTTAAAACTGTTGCAAAACCCTGCTCAACAAACATAGTAATAATGCTTTCTATACAATGAAGTTTCAAATCGATGGTCTATGTTTCTCAATATCTGCACTTTTGATTTGAGCAATTTCAGAAGTTACTTCAAATTGTTGCAAAAAGCCTTCACAACAAACATGAAACATTGATAAAATGAAATTCAAATGGATTGCCCGTAAGTGAATATCTGTAGGGTTACACGAAATAACTGCATTTAAAACCAGAACAAAAAGAACAGGTTATCTAATGTTGTTGCACGATTGAAACGGTTGAATGCATTAAATTAAGCGCGTTTTGAACGGTATCTTCACAGTGGTACATTTGTTGAACGAGTTTCATTTAGGACCTATATCTGTAGTAGGGTCGATTATAAATGTGTGACTCTGATGTGATAGAGTGAGGTCGTAGCAGTATCACTTAGGTATGGTTGAACGAGTCTCAGGTCTTAACAAGATTCATTTAAAACTTTAATGGTTTTTTGATTAAAAAGCTTCAAAAGTTCAAAGAATAGAACAAGTTCTTATGAATTTAAACAGCAAGCCGGTAAAAAAAACAGCTAGCCTGTTTGGAAGAACAGTGTCTTGTTGTTGAATTTCATTGAATAATGTCTCTCTTTATATTTTGTACGTACTAATTGATGTCCAAAAGGAATAACACGGAACAATATATGACCAAATCTAACATTGCCTTATAGTAGGAATGTAGTATTCTTTTTTTTTACTTTCATTGAAAAAACATAAACCTCTTAATATTTTGAAAAATTAAGGCACCATTCTAGAAGAAAAGATGGACTTCATTTGATATCACTGGCAATTTTCATTGTTCATTTTTTATTTTAATTTATGATTTTAAAAGCTATATAATATACAAGTACTATGGTAATTGTGTTTTTATGATAAATCAGCTTATACTTTTATAGATAAAAAATGCATATTTTTTTAGACAATTACTACACATCAAATCGTAAACCCTAGAAGTAGACATAGAGCCGACAACCTCATACGAAGTATAAATCAACTTCACTTGGTAGACACATAATAGGCAAGTTTAAGGCCAAAATGATCGAAAATAAAGCACTGTCTATCAAAAGTTCTCCAAATATAAAAAAAATCAAACCATACCTACTCGAACTACAATAAAGACAAGTATTAGTAAAGAAAAAATAATACTGAAATAATATTTCCACAAATCTCTTCCTGACATGGGATGATTTCCATAGAAGGACAAGCATGATCAATAGCTTTCTCTTTCAACTTCGTTCTGAATAGTCATAGAAGTATGTGGACTTCAAAACAATCTTAATGTTCATGTCATACTTTACCGTTTACAGAGCCCGTAAGAAGATAGATAGATGAAACCCTTGACCAACCCCTGACCAGGCAAAACCGGCGGGGATAGCAAAACCTCTCTCCACGTCAAGGGAGACAAACCTTACCTAATCACCAATGCATGAGAAAGAGCCGCAACAAGACATCACATACACCACAACAAAATAAAGAAAAATCAAATTGGATCATATCCATACCAAGAAATCAAGAAATGATCTCCGATGAGGCTAGGCAAAACAATGTGGTGCAACGCCGACTGAACAAAATATGAAGCAAGTCGCGACCTCACCCTCTACCATCACTCAACCCTCATGCGTTGCCTGCCCGCCGTAATCGATCGCCACTTACTTTGATAAACACTATCGACAAAGAGACTGCCCCATAACCGTGTGTGTTGTTTATAGAGTTCATTTTCATTTACCCAGTGCCGCAAAGGCTCCCATTTACGATGGGGTAAGGGGGGTCGGATGTACGTAATCTTACCCCTGTACTAAAGCACAAAGAGACTATTTCCGGATGATCCATAGTGAAAATCACGTCCAAAATTGCATAGACCGACTGCTGCTTCATAACAAAGAAGCACAGACAATTTAGTGAGTCATTTTGCTTTATTCCATCATAATCTCAAGCCAAAAAATAATGAATCTTTGGCTCCATTGCAAATGACGGAAAAGTTGTTTATAGAGTTCTTTAAATAAAATCACATTTATGGTAATTGTGTGTATTGGTTATGGTGTTCTTTTGCTTTTTCATCATTTTATTTTTACGAAAAGAATTGGAAAGAAAAATAGAAAAGAATATGTCATAAAGCTCATTAGGTAACACTAAAATTAGCAAATTCAATCAGTATGTCAATATGAGTCAATAGAACCGATTGAATAAAGAAAACTTAAATAAAATATATTTTATTTAATGAGATAAAATAAAATTATATGAAAAATAGCTAAGGTATTATTCTTTAGAAAAATAACTTGAGTATTACTTATTTTGTTTTTACGTAATTCATTGCACACAAAAATTATATATTTCATACAATAGTTTAATTCTAAAAGTATAAACCTGAATTAAATGATAAGCCAAAAATAGAGGTGGTCGCATTCTTAGGATGCTTTTAACTGAATTGAAAATTTCTGATCTGAACTAATCTAATATGAAATGTATAAATATACTCTAATATGGTTTGAGCTTATCCAATTTGTTAAATTCTCTGTGTATTTTACCATTGTCTATTGGTCTATCTAATATGATTTCATCTATTTATTTAAGTCTAATCTGATCTGATGTGAGGCTAAAACTAGTTTAATTAAAAACATTCTGATTCAAGCATTTACCTATTACCATTACTCATTTTCTTTTTACTAAATAATAAGCTGTCGGCTGATATATTTAGATTAATGTAACCAAACAGAACTTTAATTCCACTAACACAAATCTTAGGTGGACAAAAATATCGAAATTTCATAAACGTGAAATTTCAAAAAATATCGAATTTGTTACACATGAATGGAAAAAACAACCTTTCTAGGTTTAGTTGCCAAAAATTGCCCTTAATGTGGGGTGATGAACTGGACCCAAAATTGGCCGTTTTAATTGTACTCACAAACGACAGTTAGTAAACAGACCTTTCGTTGGTAGGTTTAGAATCGGGTACACACGAGTTTAGCATGACCATTGGTCCAGCTAGCAGACCTACTAATCGAAGAGTTATGCTCTGATCTCTGTCTTGTCCATATCTCATATATACACATCCAATGTAATATTTGATGTAACGTTTTAACTCCCTCCTCCTCCGATGCCTAATTTTTTACCACCGAGTATTTCTGGAGGATGATTTGATGTTCTGTTTAACACTTCTTTTTTGTAGTGTGATTATTATTGGCAGTTGCGTGTCAAAATAAAATGAGGACCCCATATTAAATACGCGACATAGAAAATTTATGAAAGATGGACGGCTGGCTCTTGGAATGGACATAAAATTGAAACTAAATCAAACAGGATGAGATTTGTAACACCCTTTTCTTTTCCCAGTTAGCGTAATGATGATGATGACGACGATGAGCAGTGAAAGCAATGTGCTCAAAAATCAAAATGTTTGTCGTCATCCATATAATGTTCGGTTATCATATTCTTTCGCAAATGTCTCTTTCTGTTTGATGAGGATACAAATTATAGGAAAACTTACGTGGAACTGAATAGACCTCTGGTGTCAACTTCTTCAAAGATGGGCTTTATTCATCACAGCTTAAGGATGTGTTCACGCTGTGCCTCCTCATTGCATTAGTTTTCTTGAAAGAATTTTAGGTCTTGTTTGGTTGATGAAAAATGGTTTTCAATCCAAACTTGACACAACTACCTCCGTCCCCTAACATCGGTACAAGAGGATATAATGCAGTTATAAAAAAATATTTTTTATGGTTGATAATGAATTGATAAAATGAGAATAAAGAAAAAAACAATTTAGAACTACATAAACTTTACCAAATTCGATATGTGACAATTTTAATGGGATGAACAAAAAAGAAACACGAAACAATTTGAACTACATATACGGAGCACATACTCATGAATCTAAAGAAGTTCTTTTGAATATAAAACATGTATACTCCGTATATTATATCACCTTTATTCCTTTTTAAATACAATAGTTTGAGCCAAATATCTGATAGTCTAATGACATCACTGCGATACTCTCAAGGAAGATGTCACAAGTTCAAATCTCATCCCAGTTCAAGGATGTTGATCTTAACATAGAACAAATACTATAACAATTAGAAGAATTGCCCAAAAAAATATACAACAGTTCGACCTTTTCATTTATTAGGAGAGGCAACTTTGACCATAAGTTATACGTAGTAAAAGGTTAATATTTTGAAAATTTTCATTAAGAAAATTTTTATAATACTATTTAAAATGATTTGGCTATATACTTCCCCCCGTTCCATAAAAGTTGCAACATTGGAATTTCTGCACTATTCACACACCTTACTTTGACTATGATTTTCTAATAATATATATAATAAAAATATTATGTATAAAATATTAATAATTTTGTATTAATGTAAATTTCCAATATATTAACTTTTTTTAATGTTTACTAATACGTAAATAAATATAATTACAGTCAAAGTTGTGCGTTGGCAAACGTGAAAGTCAAACTGTTGCAACTTTTATAGAACGGAGGTTAGTATATTAATAGAATAACAAGATCCAAATAGGGTGTGTAAATAGCTAAAAAGTCAAAGTCTTGCAATTAATAAAGAATGAGATTGGTATAAGATTAGAAATTAAAAGACACGAGTTGATTGCGTGAATAGTGTCCGAGAACTTTAAACAATACTCCGGATAGTACTACCTCCGTTCCTATTATAACTTACAAATAGGTTTGGCACACAATTTAAGATAGTGGGTATTGTGTGGTGGAGAGTTATGCAGAAGAGAGAGAAATATGTACGAAATATTGTGAACCACAAATTCTTTACCAAAAGGGGAAAGTGGAAGTTTTAATTGGAACGGACGAAAAAGAAAAGTTGGAAGTTATAATAGGAAGAAAGGGAGTATTGTTTTTCTTTCAAATGTCCATCCACCCTCCCATTCCTCCACCTCTACGCTCAGCAGCCCCCACTCAAACAAGGGGCTAAAGTCTTTTACGAGAACCCTACCGTGAAGGCGTGGACCATATAGATGCAAGGGCCACATTTTGGTTTATCTCTGAATAAGGTCTAATCAGGACTGTTCATTAACAGAGATGCAAGAGATTCCATTTATAATCAATGGAAACAGAAGCTGCCAGGCTGCC